CTTCTTCTTCTTCTTCTTCTTCTTCTTCTTCTTCTTCTTCTTCTTCTCCTCCTCCTCCTCCTCCTCCTCCTCCTCCTCCTCCTTCTCCTCCTCCTCCTCCTTCTCCTTCTTCTTCACTTTATAGCACCATACCAAAATACTAAACTTTCTTTGCACCTTTATTTCTCTCTTTTTTTTGGTACACATTTAGAATATGGTCACCCTGCAAATTTCTGAGAAGTCTTGGAAAAGAAAATAACTAATTTTTAGGACAGAGCAGCACCTTGGTATAGGCAAGATAATGTCAATACGGGTGTAAATCCTTTGCGGGCTTCCAGGAGTCAGTTTTGGGTAAGAGTGGAGGGAGGAGGCAAGACTTCCCAGAAGAACCTAGACATGGGGCTTGGTGTCAGTGAACACCAGCAGTCTGCTCCGGGATCGGCCACTCTACAGCCACTTGGCTTTCCAAGAGGCCGCTCTTCTGACGAGGGAACTGGGGTGCTACATACTAATGCGGAAGCCAACAGCTTTGCACGTGCTTCATGGAGCTAGCTAAGCTCCTCTCCTCTTCTTGGTCCTCAGTTTTAGACTGATGGACCTTTTCTTCACAAGACATCAAGGCTGCCAAAAACAGGGGGCTGATTCATTCACCCTGATTTGACCTGCTCTGCTTTACTGTCTGCCATTTTAGTGGGCATCATCATCCAGAGGATTTTAGGAAGGTAATTTTGGTACCAGCATGGCTATGTCATTGGTTTATGGCTACATCATTAAACCCTAAAATATCCCTTTGACTCGAAGATAACAAGGACATCATGAAGAACGGGGCATTTCCATCACTTTCAGTGAGATCTCTCACGAGCAGAGCTCACGTGTGGCTAGAGTTGAAATCCTTAGGACATTGTGGTTTGCATGTGTGTAGCACACATTACTTCATGAATGACGGTTATCTAGAACAACTGGGATGCAAGAATATGGAGACTATGAATGGAAACTAAGATTTATCTTTTAGTTTTAATTCTGTGTATGTTTATGTCTCTTTGTGTTTTTATGCCACCTGCCTGCAGGTGACTGAAGAGGCCAGAAAAGGTGTCAGATTTCCCGGACCTGGAGCTCCAGGACGTGGGGGCCCAGTGAGTGTTGAGATCTGAACTCGGGTTCTCTGCAAAAGCAGCAAGTGTTCTTAACCACCGATCCATTTCTCTGGTTTCATAAATGACAAGAAAATGATTCTTTTTCATCATGGAAAAACTCAGATGATTCTTAGGTGAGCTCCCCTGAAACATGAGAGTGTATTCTTCTGGGCCGCATGTTAGTTCTGAACTTAAGTCTTTCAAGCCCCATGGCTCTCTCCTATAAAACAGAAATATCTGCACCAGGCCTAATGCTTGAGATCCTTAAATCTCTGCGTGAGAAAATCTATCTGAAAACTCTGTGAAATTTCAGGTTCTATGTAACAAAATTGATTGTCACAACTAGAGGACAAAGGAGATTTCTTTTTCTCCCTCGATTCTGAAATGCCACTGATTTCTTTAAACATAACCCCAATATTTTTGTCTCTCTTTTTTATGACTTGCATCTCTGCTTGACCTGCCTGCTTCAATCTCTTGGTATTCTTTTTAATTTCCAGTGGCAAATCACAACAATGAAGGGGTCAATTTCTTTTGTAGTATGAAAAATACAGAAGTATTGCCCAAGGTTCAAATCTCTCTCTCTCTCTCTCTCTCTCTCTCTCTCTCTCTCTCTCTCCTTTCTCTCTCTCTCTCTCTCTCCTCTCTCTCTCTCCCCTCTCTCTCTCTCTCTCTCTCTCTCTCTCTCTCTCTCTCTCTCTCGTTCTCTCTCTCTATCTCTCATTAAAAAGAGTTTTTGGTTGCATGCTATTGATTGTAATGGGATTTGACCTGTATCTCAATTGGCTGTGTAATACATTTATGTTATGAGAGCATTTGGGAGAAATGAATTGTTATTGTGGATGATAGCCATGTCATAGAATTGGATGTGTAGAGGATAAATTGATTTAAATCACCACGGCTTATTTTCGTAGTCCTGACAGGAGAGTCAAGTGGTCTCTAGCTCTTTTGTGGTCTTTTTTTATCAAAGCCATGGTGACTTGAATTAACCAATCTACAGTTGCCAAAATACTTTAAAGCAGACACTGAGGTTGCCTTGAACTTAAATGAATTTCAGCAAGAGGTTTGAGGAGGAGAAATGCTTTATTGGTGGCTACATGATTGATATTTGCTTGGGAGTTTCTTAAAAAGCGATCCGCAAAGGTAAATTACTCTCTTTGTACCTCAAGTTTGCAGGAAGCATTTTCAGATAAAGTTACATATAAATTGGAAACTCAACCTTGATATAAAATAACAGCCACAGTAAAGAAATCTATACAGGGTCAATTTTGAGCAAATCTTGCCTAAAGCGTTTTATCATTGAAGCTTTCAAGGCTGGTACAGGAGAGTTAACAAAACAAATGACAGGCTCGGTCTTGAGTCTATGAGCAAGACAAGTTCACAGAGGAAGTAGGTCGATATTTAAAACATTATATAAACCAGGTATGCTGGGAAATGTCTGAACTCAGGAAGGTGGGGCAGGAGAATTACTTCAAGTTCAGGGCCAGCCTGGGCTACACAGCAAATACCAGGCTAGACTGTGACTTGAGAAAACAAACATAAGTTATGGGAACTGCTTTATAAATGGGGATTGGATTAGGAGCCATGGTCATCTTCGGTGTGGTTGGATATGTATGGAACCTTTCCCTGTGATGGGCTCCATGATATTACCCCCTTATGTTTAATATCATGGTCCTAGAAGTACATTTTATTCTGCTTTTATTTTTAATTGTGTGTGCGCACACATGCACCCACATGCATGCTGGTGCCTGTCGAGGCCAGAAGAGGACATTAAAGATCCTGGATATGTTACAGGCAGTTGTGAGCAGCCGAATGTGGGTGCTGGGATTTGAACTGCACTCATCTGCTAGAGCAGCCAGTGCTCCTAACTGCCGAGCTTTCTCTTCAACCCAAAGATTTCTGTTTTACTATGATGTCCCACCAAGCTCCAAAAGTGTGTCCCCTGCAATCTGCTTCCCTTGTGTTTTCAATGGTCCCTAGAAGTTTGAAAGTATTCATGTGGACACAGATAGAGGTTTTTTTTTTAAAATGTAGTTTTATATTTGGTATTTCTTAAGAACATCTTCCCAGTAATGTTAGATCAAGGCTTTATCATAATGAAACTCTTAGCATAACTTCTTGGGACACCCTGAAGCTGCAAGTGTTAGATCATACTCACAGAGTTAGGGAGATGGCTTAGTGGTTAATGACATCCATGGGAAAACTAGGTTTTTCTGCATGATCCTATGACCCCAGAGCTGGCAAGGACAGACAGAGGAGAATTCTTGGGCTTGCTGACAGAGTTCAGTGACAGATCTTGCCATGAGGAAATTTGGCAGAGAGGGATGGAGGAGAACATCCTGTATCTTCTGTTGGCTTCTTCAGGAAGAACCAAGTTTCAGAAATGTACATGCACACACCCACACATGGACATACAAACGTAAGCAGATAAAGAGATCATTTTCTCAGCCCCCTGTGAACTCAAGCTAGGACCAACTCAATTGATAAAATGGCCCCATCAGACTGACCTGTAGGTAAGCTCGTGAGGCATTTCTTAATCGGTGATTAATAGAGAAGAGCCCAGTTCACTAAGGACAGTGTGCCTCTCAGGCTGCTGGTCCTGGGTCTATAAGAAAGCAGGCTGAGCAAGGCTTGATGAGCAAGCCAGTAAGCAGTACTCCTCCATGGCCTCTGCTTCAGTTCCTGCCTTCCTGCCTTTAAGCTCTTGCCTTGCTTGAGTTCCGGTCTTGGCTTCCCTCAGTGGACTATGATCAGGCTTATAAAGCCAAATAAACCCTTTCCTTCCCAAGCTGCTTTGGGTCATGGTTTTAACTACAACAATAGAAAGCTAATTAAGACAATCACCCACAGCAAGTGCTAGTTAAATAATTGCAACTCAGAGGTCACTGTGATTATTTAATTTATTTTTGATAGATTAGGATGTCACTTTCCGCTGCCCCTGGCCTCTTATTTCTTCAATTCTTGATAATTCCAACCCCTTGGGAAGGCACAGTAATGACACAGATCTTGTCCTGTTCTGAAAGTGGAATGTTGCTGAACATCATCATCGTTTGCTTTTTAGGAATGCATACCTGGTTTCCGTGGTGCAATTCTAGGAGCCACAAGGACGGCATGATGTTGATCAGGTATAAAAAGATGGCTGGAGAAAGCCTGAAAGGAAAAAACATAAGGAAGGGGCCAAGAAGAGGGCTCAGCAGATACAGTGCTTGCTACAACCCACTATGTAAATGCCAGGTGACCTTGAGTGATCCCCAAATGCAGGAAGTGAGGACAGAGGACTCTCTGAGCAAGAGGACTGGCTAAGCTAGCTGAATGGACAAATTCTAGGTTCAAATGTGACACCCTGCCTCGTTATAGAAGGTGAAGAGGGACTGAGGAAGACATCCAATATCAACCCTTTGCCTTCCGTGTGCACACGCACTCCTAAACACATGAACTCCCATAATGTGAATACACATGTACCGCGCGTGCGCGCGCGCGCACACACACACACACACACACACACACACACACACACACGGGCCTTCCCAAAAGAAGAAAAACAGACACCCAAGCGCAATCACCAACCATGGTTACTCTCTGTCTGTCGTCGTGATTTCTGCTGCAGGGATTACAGAGAGGAGCCACAGTAACTGCAAAGCCTCTACCAGCTGCCATTGCACCGAATCCCTAATCCAATTAATAGAAGCTGACTGTAAGATTGCACTGGGGACACGGCCAATTAGTTTCAGGCACAACACTGCTTATTTTGTGTTTAAGATGTTTTACAGAACGCAAATGCAGCCAGAACAAATCCTGGGTTTATTTCGACATTGCAGTTTCAGGGAGTGTTTTAAGAATTTTCTTTCTTTCTATTCTCAATGTCGAATTCTGAGATCTTAGATGACAACTCCTCGCTAGAACACAAAATCCCAATGACAAGGACAAGAAAGGAGAATGGCTCATTGATATCCCGCGAATTTGTCAAACCTGGAAAATTAAAAGAAATGCCATAGCCGGAGGTTTGGGAACTTTCGAGAGGTTAGTTCAATATTTGCTAATTCCTGGTTCAGAGGGAAGGCTGAGGAGTGGGCTGATAGAGACACCCTTAGATTCAAATGACCTGTGCTGTTAACCTACCCATTTGTTTCCCAGTTCACACAATGGCTACAAGTTTGGTAGTCAATTCTTAATGTCAGGGGTCAATTCCCATGGCTCTGTCAGTGGAATTGACTTTCTTAGAGCCCTGGAGGTTGAAGCTCACCATAGCAGGTCAGCAAGGTGGAGTTTGGCTGCAGCTCCCATTCTGGCTCCTACAAGGAGAACTTTGGGCTGTTGACATTGCATAGCCTTTTCTCAGCACACATGCTGGAAGATCCCTCCCACACCCCTCCCCCTTTTAAAGCGGTTTCATGGCACTAGCATCACTTGTATGATATAATTCAATCTCCAAACCCCGTCCCATTTCTGACTATGAAATCTGGAGGGGAACTGTGGTAGCACCCAGTCACCGCATTAACCTGGCAGGGATCATTATGCCCCGGTGTCTGGCAGGCGAAAGTGCTGAGTGGAAAGTGGGTTATACTCCTGTTTATTATGAAATTGTGCCTGTGTTCCTTAGTTTCACAATCTGGAACCACCAGGGAATGAGTCTCAGGGGATTGCCTGGATTAGGTTGCATGTGGGCAGAGAGAAAGCTAGAGCGAGAGTTTCTTAACTGAGGTAATTGACTCGGGAAGATCCACTCTGAAGGTGGCGGGCAGCACCATCAAGGCTGGTCTCAGAACTGTGACAGCATGGAGACAGCCAGCAATAAAGCATGCAGAGATCCAAGCATTTACTCTCTCTGTTCTGAGCGTGGATATGATGGATTCAACTCTTGCCTTGACTTCCCCACAATAATGGGTTGTACCTTAGAATCAGAGATGAAATAAATCCTTTCTTCTCTAAGTTGATTTAAGTTGATTTTAGGGCAGTGTTTTTTTTTTTCTATCACAACAGACATGAGACTTGTACAACACTGAAAACGCACCCTTAAAATTTTGACATAATAAATTGGGCACAGTGATGCACAGCTGTAATCTCAGTCCCCTGGAGATTTATGCAGGAGAATTGCAAACTTGAGGGCAATTTGGATGGACAGCAAGATTCCTTTTAAACCCAAATAGTAGTAGTAGTAACAACAACAATAATCATAGTGATAATAAAGTGAAATAAAAAATGTTTTTTCCAAATTTATTTCTTCACATTGTGTTTTGCTTTGGTTTGGGTTGTTGAAGACTACACAGTTTCTCTGTCTAGCCCTGCCTATCCTTGAACTCACTGTAGACCAGGCTGGCCTCAAACTCATGGAGATCCACTTGCCTCTTCCTCCTGGGATTAAAGGTGTGCGCCACCACCACGTGGCATGTTTTGTTTTGGATTAAACTCTTCCTTGATAGAGTATCTTTAAAGTCAAATTTGTAGTAGATGATTCATTTTATTAAAAATATTTTTGATACAAATTTGTATTAGTGAGATTAAATATTACCCAAACTGCACTATTATACGCCAGAGAATAAAGATAAAGGGAAAAAAATCAGTGCAGTTTTAAAAGGCTATTAACCCTTTGGTTATCTTCTTTTACCTTCTGTAAAGAAAGGGCAAGAAAAGAAAGAGGTCTTTTAAAAAATCAATATTTAATATAGACACTCTCCTACTTTTGATTTCTTGCCAAAACCAATTTTGAAGCAAAAGGTTATGGGTCCAGATATTATTAAAATCTGATATGGAAGATGTCTGAGCTGCAGGAAAATGTCAAAAACCCATGTTGAGCATGCTCTTAAACGAAAGAAGCCATCAACTGTTTGACCACCGTTTCTGTACCACAGAAAGCGGGAGGAGGCGCTACCGTGTGACGTGGGGAAAGAAGTGAACTCTGGCCAGAGGGCAAGCTGCACACTGGTAGTTGTTTTTGTTTGGACGCATTGAATGTTGACTGAAGCGAAAGATTGCTAACCTCAAATTAATCTGGAGACTAATGCCTAGTAATGCTGTTACAATAGTAATATGGGGAAGTGTTAGACTGAGCACACACTAGCTCTCAGCGGTAGCTGAGAATAAAACAATGACCTTAATGACTTTGATGCACTAGATTCACTTCTTTAATTAGAAAAATATTATCCATTTCAGTGTATGTTCCCTAATTAGGAGACTGGCTCTTCAAACACACACACACACACACACACACACACACGCACGCACGCACGCACGCACGCACGTACTCACACACTCTTCAAGATTCAGGATTTTCTCTCTGCTGTAGTATAGAAAGTCTAATCACTCTCATTCGATAGTCAAGGACTCCATGATCTGTTTTAGTTTTACCTTCCTTTACCCCAACCACATCCCATCAAGACTAGTGATTCAATAACCCAACTTGCTGTGTTTTTAAGACAAAGCAAAACAAAATAAACAGGAAGAGGATTAGGTCAGTGATGTCGTACTTTGCTGGCATCTTGGGTTCCAACCCCAGTGCTGTTAAAGCAAAAACAATTTGGGAGAGGTTCCCTTTCTTCAATCCTTCTTTAGTAGAGTTATCTGACATAGAGAAGGAGGTGAGAAGAAAGAATCAATAGAGGAATTAATTTACTCAAGTCTACCCACAGCCTCCTCTAACAAACCGTGGGCCTGGGTTTAGAACAGTATCCCACTCAGGCTGAGCTGTAAAGAAAGAATGTGAAATGCCTTTAAATGTGGACATCTCCCCCCAAACAATGAAAACTTTTTTGGAATGATCTTCTGTACCTATCTGCCCATTTACATCGGACTTGCTCTGGCAGGGCATGGGAGGCAATATTCACAATCTACCTTGCTGAGACCCTACGCGATTTTGCAACGGTGTGGATATTAGACCAACATTCTGAATTGAAGCTTTCCGAAGGCAGATCCTGGGTCTCCCGACCTTTCCCTCTCCCTGATTGTTAATTTCCTTGTCTCGAAGATACCTCACTATCTTGTGTTCAGTTCGTGTTTGTTCAGCAAATTTTAACTGTTTAAATGCTCGTATTTATGAATCAAGAATAAATAAATGGGTAAAATGGATGAATCTACTGACGTGCACCTGGACCTGTTATTTCTGCAAGTCCAGCACCAAAGATACTCTTCGAGCCAAGACCTTTGAAAAATTATTACTTACCATTTAGTTTTTTAAAGATTGGTATACATTTTTATGTGTGTGTGTGTGTGTGTGTGTGTGTGTGTGTGTGTGTGTGTGTGTTTGTGCAGGTATCCACAGAGACCAGGCAGCATTAGATCTCCTGGTCCTGGAGGAGTTACATGTGGTTGTGAGTTGCCTGACATGGGGGCTAGGGAGTGAAGTTGCATCCTCTGGAAGAGGAGCAAGTGCTCTTGACTGCTGACCTACTTCTCCAGTCCAGTGCCTCAGGCAGAATGATCAGTAGAAATGGTCACATTTGAAAGACCTGAATCAGAATACCGCCTCTTCGTTTCCTTCATGTTGGGAAACTTTTTACCTTTTGAGACATAGGCTGGTTAGAGTGTTAGGAGAAGCAATGTGAGCCATGTGATCAACATTTCAGATGCTCGATTACATAGCTTCTGCCTTCTCTGGACTCAGCTCTGAAATTTTGCCCATGGGTGACGACGCATAACAATTACTTGGTCACTTTAGTGGAGTGCCTTTTTAAGATAACCTAGGACCAATTCTGTTTTTAAACCATGATTCTCACAATTAAACCTATTTAAAGCTGCTTGAATGAGAAGAGGCAGTTAGCACGGCCTAGAACACCCCAACTGCTGGCTTCACATTTGATCTTTGCAAAGTGGAGAAGTGTGTGGGCCACTTGCCCATTTTTAGCTAAGATGAGTCTTACTCTGAGCCCTGCATGCTTCTGGGCTGTGTTATTCTTCTTCCTTACCAAGCTTCTGCAGCCTTCTTCCAATGCTAGAGATGACGTACACCTCCCCGTCTCAGACTTTTGCGCATGTGTCTGCCTCTTTTTCTTCAATGTAGCCTGACTATTTCCTTCTCCCCAGTTCATGTCAACAATGTGGGGGTGTAGGGACTCCCTTAGAAATCTTTGACATGCCACTCAAGTCTCAAACTTTCCTTTCATGCATTTTCTCCATATACTTTCTAAATTTATAATTATATCTGGGTGTTAGTGTGT